CGTGTTTATAGGACGCTTGCGTTGAAATTTCTAACACTGTTGTAAGGCAATTATAAGGCAGGAACAAAAGATCATATATGCGTGGCGTCGTTTATTGCGTAGCATAAGAACACACTGGAACAGCAGTATACCACGGGGAATAACCAAAACGTAACGATCACGAATTGCCAACTTAAAACCTAGTCGTCGTTGCCAACCATCTAACAAAAACCACCTTGAAATTTTCAGTTCCTATGTATTGCGGATAAAATAAAAACTAACCAAGTACGTCATGTCTGAAATCGTGTTGAAAAATAATGTTTCTCTAGGAAACGATAAATTACATTGTCTAGAAAAATAGTGGTTCGTTTTTGTTATAACCACAGTACATAAGGATTGCAAATATTAGGGTAGTTTTATAGTTATGTCACGCAGTGTACACGTATTATTATATTTTTCTTTAAGAACCCAGATAACCATTTGCATGCAGATTGGCAGCAGATAGTGACGAAATCTGTCTACAAAACCATACTCATCTTTTTCAGCATTTGACTTGGGTTATGTAGGCAGAGATTGTTGACAGGATCGTGAAGCAATTTGTTTATAGCAGATCCTGCATCCAATCTGTAGCCATTCTGATAACAAAAACTTATAACAGGCATTGGACAAAATCTGGCTGTATAGGTTTGGTTGACTGGGAAATATTAAAAGTGCCTCAAAGACCCTTCTATATGGATGAAGGTTAATGGGTGGTTTCATTCTAAAGAACAGAATATCAGCAAAATGAAAAATTGTCCAATGCTTGTCTCCTACAAACCTGCAGAGATTTAAAATGAAAATCGAAATTTTCTTGGTACCGAACGTTCTTGTAAGTAAAATTTTCAGAAAAAATACTTTTACCAATAGACGCTATACTGTTCAAAGAAAACGATATTTTAAATAGGAAGCGATATTTCGATTTTCATTTTAATAATCTGAAGCATATATAAAAATGATGTATTTTCTAGCTCGTAATTTAACCCAAAATCTAGTCACCGTTCCATTTTTTGGCGTCGGTAACACCCTGGGCTTGCGGGCGATCCAAAATAAAATCTTAATATTTAAAAAGTATTTATAATATTTTCGTACTATTCTTTTTTAATTCTTCTTTAAACATCTTAGGAAAGAATAACTGCACAGTGTGATTTCTGTTGAAAAAAACAAACGAATAGTAAAGAAAAGCTGAATGTTTTAATATTTATTTTCAAGTCTGTAAACAAGATTCAAATTTTGCAAGGTCGCCGGTAATCCCAGGGTGGCGTTCCAAGGTTAATTCGTTAAAGTGACAATATAAACTACGGGCAAAATAATATTATTTCAGGTCGTTGCTCGAAATTGGAAAAGGAAATCGCTCTGGACGATTCCAGAAAGATCGTGTAACATAAAAACTTATGAGGCACGAATGGCCGTGAAAAAATCTTTAACCTAACTTTGTGTCGAAAGTCTTGACTGAATACGCAGTCTAGTTATTATAATGTCTATGGTCTCAGTACTAGAGACATTGAGGTTGCGCCATCTAGGTATTATAATATTTATGGTCCGACTGCCGCAGACATTGAGGTTGCGCGGTCTAGATATTATAACCTTTATGGTTTCAGCGCGAGGTGCGGGATTCCCGTGTTCCGTTGCAACTTTCAGGTCTGATTAGATATTCATTTCCACTCATACCAATTGTTTTTTTATCGTCAACTGTTTCGAAATTGTTACGGCCGTAGAACGCGCTTGGGGCAGTGATGCCGGAATCGTGGTACTGTTTACCCCCACCACTCTCCCACTCCGACGTACCATCGTCTCTCACTATGACGTCCCGGCTACCCCCACTTTACGTCCACCGTGCTGGCACACACAAGCATATCCAAGCCCTGTCCGTGTGCGCTGGCCGTTCGAGAGACGGTGAGCTATATTTAGAAAAGAGTGGGGGTAAACCGTACCACGATTCTACCATCCTGCTGCCTTGGAAATCCTGTTCGAATATCACTGCGGCGAAAATTCACGTTCTCGACGCGATGCCCCGCAACCTAAGCGCG